TAATTAAATGTCAGCCTTGTGAATCAAACCTTTTGCTTTGTGATTTGAACTGAAAGGAGGCATAAACCTCTGCTCTTCTCTGGTTGCATGCTCAGTCAGTGCAGAACAAGGAAGCTTTCTTCATGGCAATGTAAAGGACAGTCAATTTGACCAGGGCTTCAGGGACTGTATTCTTTACATACAAATTTGACAGCACAAAAAACCAGCACTGGGTAAACAGAGAGGCTGATGCAGTGTCCTTTAGCACAGCCTATTCTGGATCCTCTGTTGCACTTGTCTGCATGCTACCACCCCTGTCCCAGGCCTGGCCACCTCACCAGGGGAGTGGGCCAGCACAGCAGGATCAATGTGGAGGACAACCAGTCCCCTTGCTTTCAGTCTCTGAGTGCCACAGCAGCGGAGTCACCTCCAGCTGAGCTGGTCAGAAGCAACCTCCAGCATCCGTCCCAAGCAGGCTGGAGCCCATCTTTCTAGTCCAACTCCTGCATCTCTCCTGTGGGGCTGTGCACAGGAGGGTCCTGCTCTGCCTTGCTGCTCTGCCTCAGCTTCACTCCAAGCATACAGGGAACTGCAACTCCTTGGACTTCATTGTGGTAAAAGTTATGGACATTACTGCAAGCTGCTGAGTGTAGGCAGGGACATTTTTTGGTTTTTGAGGTCTGTTCATCTGTGACAAGAGTAAAGCAAAGACAGATCCATATGCAGAAAGCCTCTCATGTTGTTGCAGGAAGGGAAGGAGAGCAATGCAATAGGTATTATTGCATACAGCAGGCACAGTAGGTAGAAAGAAATCAGTTTGAAAGGAATTAGAGGGTACCACTGAAAAGCTTCAAAAGAGACTAAACAGAGACCTAAACAGCCATTGCATATATTCAAGGATTCCTTTTAAAAAACCTATGAAAAAGCTGTTTTCCATAAATATTGATTTCATCTTTCCACAGAGACACTGTTTTTCCCAGGACCTTTGCTATTCACAGCAGCTTGTGTCTCAGGGTGCCATTCCCATCCTCCTGCTCCCCTGCAGGAGCCTCAGAGCCCTGGGATTGCAGCAATATCTCTGAATTTTGTGGATTTTGTAAAGGTCAAGGTAAAGGCAAGTCTTTAATTAGAATTCTTACTAACATATATTATAACAGAAGACAAATGATATTTGCACAGCAAAGAGAACTAAATGATAATGTTTGTGATTTCACTCTTCCTCCAAGGAACATGTATTTGTTTATGCAGTCTTTGGGTTGTGTTCACTTCATATTAGATTTTCATGTTCCCTCTGACTGATTCTTCTTTCAGGTTGAGTCAGTGGATGTGACCTTATGGTGACATTTGCAGAGTGGCATTGACTGTGGTAGCTGTACACTTACAAAGTTCACTGGCAGGGCTAAGTGGTCCTAGGACCTGGATACTGGGTGTTCCCCTTTGTGCTCATATCACATTTCCAGATGAGTGAGGACTTAATTTTGATTAAGTTTAAAAGTGAAAAACTTTCTGTGAGGAGCTACTGTGCAGAGGTGGAAGTCATACACTGAGCCAAAGTCCACCCTATTTCAGGGTGTGTGTCAGCAACCACTGGAGTTGAATAAATTACTCTTGAAAGGGGAAATATAAGCTTGGTAGAGTGATCCTAAAACAGCTACGTCTTTCCATCAAAGAAGTATTCAGGCAGCAAAGTTAGTAAGGAATAATGTATATCATATTCATTACCCCTGGGCATGTGTGACATCCTGCACCTTTTCCCGTACAAGTTCCTCTGGCTCCTCACCTCTCTCAGGGTATTGTAGCCAAAGCAATCATTAGTTCTTGCAAAGGAAATTGAAACCATCTTTTCTTGTGGGCATTTCTATATTCTCATTATTTGAACATCACTTGTGTAGCAGAGGCACGGGAGAGGTGCTCTTGTGGTTCTGGTGTTGGCATTTACTCTTTGGGACTGTCTGATGGAAGTACAGCATGGCAACAATGAATGCAAAGCTCTGCTCACTGGATATGATGGTAAAGGATGAATACTCTATCTCTGTGCTCTCAGGGAAATATGCCACTCAACATACCTTGCTGTTTTTCTGCAGGAAAAAACTTCAGACCAGATCAAAGTAACAAGACAACAGTTAGAGGTAATTGGTGCACAAAGACATACACAGTCCTGAGGCAAGGTATTATGCAGATTTGCTGTGCAGGAACTGTTGCTAGTCAGTATTTTCTTCTTTTCAGAAGATCCACACATGTGCCCAGTGTTTGGATGCAGCAGTCAGTCACCATTGGTACAGGCAGTGGATGAGTTTTCACTGATGCCCATTCTCACCTGCACTCCACCACGTGAAGGCACATCTGTGGCAGCCCTGCACTCTCAGTGAGTCAGTAACAAGCTCACTGCTCTCCTGGGATGCACAAATTAACTTTGTTTTTTCCTCCAGCCTCAACTGCCAGATTCAGCTGTGTGGCTTAGTAGAGCTGAAGGGCTTAGTAGTGATGACAGGCTAATTAATTCAACTAATGGAAGTAGAGACAAAGGAAAGAAATTTTAAATGTGTTTTCCTAACCTGGCTTCTTTTGGCTATTTTGAGGAAATATGGAGGAGAAGACAATCTTGCTGATTATTTTTCCATTTGTTTTCACATGGTCATCCTTCTTTTCTCCTCCCAGATTAAAATCTCTTCTACTGTGCCTTGTTTGTGAGACCCTAGCTGACTCCCCCTCCATCAGCATGAGTTGGCCATTTCCATCACTTCTATTTAAAGGAAGTGAACAGATCTACTATGCAGCGTCTGAGTTTGAAATCTGTCCCAGAAAACAGTGGAAATTTACATATTTATTTTTGCAGGTGACATTTGTAATCTATTGAAATGCCTCACAGTCAAGCTGAAAATGCAGATCTGTAACTTTGCATGCCCCAGGAGAAATATTAGCCAATCTGATGCAATGCTAATAAATCATGATTGTTATTATTATGTTTTGGATGTGTTGTAATAAAGCCAAAATATTGTTTTATTGGGAAAAAAATCAACTCCCAAATGTATGATTTCATTTCTGTATAGTATTATTTCTGTAATTAAAATTCAAACTTACATGAGGTTGTCCTCTGAGGATTTCACAGATACTAATTAAATAAGGTCTTATTCAGCAGTCTCTATCCATATAAGTAGTCCTGTTGGCTTCCCATCTGCAAGGAATTTTGGACTGTTCTCTGAAGTTAATGCATTTGATTATTTCCACTTCACTAATGTAGAAAATGATACACAGAGGAGTTAAATGATTTACTCAAGACAAAAGGGAGAGCTAATGGTATCTGAAAATAGATCTTCTGGAGCAGAGTCCCGTGCTTTTATTGGAAAATGGTGCATCAGCATTCATAGCAGCTTCAAATACATCAAGTATGCACAGAGTTTTGCAAGGAAGCCCAGAAACATGGGAGGGAAGGGACCTGCAGGGTGCCTGCTGTGAGTGGCATGGGGAGCCACCTGCAATATTCATAGCCCATGGGACCTTGAGCCCCAATGTCTTTTCATAATCAAACAGGCCATCCTGAAAAATTCAGACACCTTTGCCTTTGCAAAGCATGAATCTGCATCACAGGATCTGCAATTTTTCTTGAGTTCAGTGATCAAGGGTGAGAGATTACCAAAAAGCAAGTGGAAGGGTTAAATGAAGGAGATGCTCATTATTTTAAGCCAAGAGTAATTACAATCTTGAAATAGCACTGGCTGTTGTTTAAAAGTCACAGAGGATTGTCTGACATCTTGTCAAGGGTGTAAGAGTTTCTCACACTCTTGGTGATGACATTCAGGGCTCCTTTTGTCTGTCACAGTAACTGCTGAGTGACTTTAACTTTGGACAGAACAGTCCCAGCACTAGTTATAAGGGGCAGATTGTTTTTCAGACAGCAGGGAGGGAAGGTGTGCCATGTACTCACCATGATATCATGCTGGAGCAAGATGGATTGAGGAGCAAGCATGGAGAGGGAATGATGCTGGTCCTGAAGGACTCTAAAAGCAAATGAGTTGAAAAGCAGATGAGTTGAAAGGAATCATATATTAGTGGATTATATGGTCTTGCTACATTTTTTCCCTCCAAGATTGCTCTTGCTAAGCCTTAGGTGGGGGTGTTCATGCATTGACAGGGTGACTTCAGTGAACCTGAGCCTCCATAAGGTACTCAGAAAGGGTTCCAGACCCACTTCCATCTAGGCTTTATTCTTGGTATGTGCAATGTTTTGCCATGGGAATGAGTGAAAGAGGAGCTGAAGGAAAATGCATAGGCAAAACTTTGATATCTTATTATGGTTTCCCTTCATTCATTGTATTTGCTGGACAAACACATGGAAACCTTCCCGAAGTGAACATTATTATTCCCATGATCCAAATGATCCAAGGTCAGTTCTCCTATATGTGCCTGACTCTTTTCTTCTAACTCTTCATCCCTGGATTAGTGCTATCTCCTACCTGGCCAGCTTCTCTTCTTCAGGATGTGGGGAAGAAGGGTACCACTTCACATTTGTGGCCTTGAGGAGTCTGAGAAAGTCTATTGTTCACACTTAGGTGATATGAAAGCAGTCCTTTTCCACTAGTAAGCTCTTACAAATACAACTTGGAATAGGTTCACAAGTGCTGTTGTCATCTTTTGGAATCCTGAATTCTCCAACTTGCAGCCGTAAAAACGTATGAACAACTCCAAGACATCAGTAAATACCCAGTAATGTTTGGTTGTTTTGTTTAAAAAGCATCAGCAAAAACAAAAGTAAATGGAGGACACTTCTCCCTAAGCAAATAAAACTCTCCAGGACAGCATACTTTACTTAAAAATTATATGGCAATTTTTTTTCTTCTTTAGGTTCCAGAAACATATCCATATATGGTCTACTTGTCAGGGACAATAAATAATGATGTAATAGAAAGGTCAGCTTTGTGTCATTTAGCTCCAGGATGTTGATGAAGTGAAGTTCTTCAGAAAATGCAACAAAGAACTTCAGGATTGGTACAAGTTTCTGCTGTGCATCTTCAAACAGGAAATCTGAGATTGGGAACAACTTATATTTTGGCTTGTATTCACTGATCATGGGGTGATCCAGAAATAAACTCCAGGCTTCAAAGTGAGCATGTTTCAAAGCTGTCCTGCAGTTGATCGAAACATCCAGGCAAAGCAGGGAGACAAATACCATCGAGGATTTTCTGAATTAAGACTTGACCAAGGAGATAACCCATTTCAACACTATTATTACCCTTTTATTTCAGAACAAAAAGGTAATGCAAATATGCATGTTTTGAACTTATTTAGTACTTTCAATCTCTCATTTCGTTATGTCTATGCAAATATTTATTCCTACAGTAATTTGTAACCTAACACCCTAACAGTCTTGGGAGCTTTGTGATTTGCTTTTGTTTGTTTTGGGCTTTGGTATTTTTTTCAAATATGCTATAAAATACTGTCTCTTAAACAAAACAGTAGCTCCGTCATTTTCTTATTTTTCTTTTACTCGCAGGTGGTGCCTGTATCTTTGTCCCTAGAATATCTTGCTCAGAAATCAATGCTTTACCTACAACATACTAATGTAGAATGTAGCATGCAAGGGCACAGTGTGAAAGAGGAAAAATTACATCAGCAAAAAATGTCTTTAATTTTTGAATTTCTAGTTGGCTTGACATGAAGCTAATATTGCACTAATTTCTGTGTGAATTAATATGTTCTGAGGAGAAATAAATGCTTGCAGGTGTATAATTTCTAGTAAAGAATTTGCACAGAATCGTGATTTGGTGACATCAGGGCATATGCCATGCTGATAGGTGACCTGTTTTGACAGCTGGGGCTGAACATGGGGATTTGTTTGCTCAGAGGATTGCTTCGGGAAGCCTGGCTTTGCTCCTTCAGCACTGGGCTAGAACTTGAGTGGTTTGCATAAGCTGTCAGTACAGAGGATCCTTGCTTGTTGCTGCATCAGGACAGCGTGAGGTGTCATCCTTCTGATGTCTCAGCACGGGCAGATCCGATGGGCATTGAAATCTTTCTATTTTTAAAAAAATAATTTGCTTCCTTGTAACAGCTATCCAATATAATACCCTTGGAAAACTGCAAAGTTTTATCAGGAAACTGACCTAAAACGTAGCAAAAATGCGAGCACTTTAAATTCTGGTTTCCATTGCCCGCGGAGGATCTGTCCTGAAAGATGCCACAGTGAGAACTGAAATAGGGCTCAGTTTGCTGTGGAGACATCCAGCCTGTTTGCCTTTCCCCGTGTGTGCTCCTGCTGATTTCAGAAGTAAAGACAAACACGTGGAAAGGCAAACACAGATCTGCAGAAGCAGGAGCTCAACCACTCCTCGCAAAAGGCAAAATGATGAAGCAGCTTCTCTCCTCTCTCTTTTGCAGCCTCCAAAGACTTGGTTATGTTTTCACGAATGTGGTTTATTGCACTCTGAGCCATAAATAACAAGGTTCTGTATTCAGTTACAAGCTCACTGGAATATACTCAGCGCAAAGGCAGGCAAAGCCTGGCTCTGTTCCCTTAATGACCTTGTCACTTATCTGCCATCCTGCTCTGACAGAAATAAGGAATTCTGCTAATTCTGCTGCCTGGGATCTATTGAGGGGGGGTAGCCTCGCTAAGCCTTTTTTTAAAGAAGTGCTATCAACGGGGACCAGTTGTTTCAAATGCTAATGGTATTGAATTGCACGGTTCTGCATGTTCAAAGCCAGCCGTAATCCTTGTTTATTTATGTTGCATCAGGGATCAGAGGCCCATTCTCCTAAGCAGTATGTTGACAGAGCTTGTAGTCCGAACATAATAGCAACATAATTGTGTTTGTCTCTGGCTTTTGCCGTCATGGAGGTGATTACTAGGTAGTCCCCATTGTGAGTAATAACTGTGGTTTCAGAGATCTACCAGGTACAGCTGCTCATCAACACAGGTTAGGAGATCGAAGCATGGTTCTTGCACAAGTATTTTATTTCCAGCCTTACCTTCTGGTCACTGGATGCATCTAAGTTGTCTCTGTATAGCACAGGTCTGATTACACATCTGAATTAACAAACTCTCACTGAAATCAGGATGGCAAAATTAAAATCAGGATCAGACTCTATGTAGAAATGGTGTAAGTTTAGATTTGAGAAGATCTTGTCAGACTGACTTACTAAATGGCAGCACAGCAGAATTCCAAGACATGTCTCTGCCCAGAGAGATCACTAGTGAAGCCATCAGACCTGGAAGCAAAGCACTCTGTAAAAAATAATATGGTCCCTATAGCCAGAGCTTTAAAAATCAGGTTCTGCTGTCCCAGTAGATGCTGTATGCTACCTGCATGTGGGGATGGGTTCTTGGGCTGCCAGAGAAATGCAGAGTACAGCCAAATGTTAAAGCATTCTCCCAAACACCTAAAGTTAAGATGAAGAATAAATACAGCATTTAACTTTTAAATCTAATTTCAATACTTTAAACCTGCAGTAAGCTGGCTTGGAGCGAGGGAATAGATTCAAGCTGCTTTTAGAAAGACCACTTTGGCCAGATCTTGCTAATCCAGACTTGTTCAAATATTTCTAGCAACAAAGATGGATTTTTTTTCACACCTTCATTACTGAAAGTGGAAAATATTTAGCTTATAGCACATTAGTCTAGTGAGCTTTTATAAGTATGTACTTGGCAGTTCACTGATGGCCTCAGATGGGGTAAACTTAGCCCTGCTGTGTCAGCTGAGCCAGGCCACTGCCAGGTGATGCCACTGAGTTTGGCCTCGGGGAAAGAAGGGTAAACTGAATCAGGCTGTGGTGCATTAGCCTCCAGCCAAGGGCATGTGCTCAGCCTGTTATTGCAGCTCCTTACAGACATAACCCAGACCAGTGCCCCTGTCCTGTAATCCTGCAGCTTCAAACAAAAGCATCCTCAGGTGGAAGGGGAGGGTGGTGGCTTTGCTGTGCTCTGCTGGGAGCTGTAGGGAAGAAGGCATGAGCCCTGCCTCCTGCCAAACTCAGTCACAGCACACGGGCAAACTGCACACACACACTTGTCTGAGCAAGTGGACAGAGCAGGGGGATGCAGGGACAGCTTCAAGCACAACTAGAACACTCTCTGCAGGGGTTCAGGACAGCCAAGGCTGTCCCTGGCTCTCAGGAAGGACCCAAAAGTTCCTGCAGCCCAGGATGTGACCCCCACACCTTCATTGTGTTTGTGCAGTGCCATGGGCAGAACTGGAAGCTTTCTCTGTTTTGAGCCCTATGAAATTTCTCCCTGCAGGATGAGTCAGTGAGGAGAGCTGCAGCCAGCACTGTTTCTGCACTCTATGGAACTCCTGTCAAAATATTTAGATTAGCAAGGTTCACCAACAGGCAGGAGAGGTTCTCCCTTTTCTCTGTGAATAGGTTGGACCCAGTTCACCCCTACAAAGAATAAGAGGATGAAAGAGGAGTAGTCCCCACAAATCTAAAATATTCCCTTTTGCTCCCTTTGCCTTAAGAATGTGTGAAACAAAAGGAAGGAGGGGAAGAAGGTCCAGAAGCAGCCTTTATACCTACATCTATTTGGGATGTGGTGAAACAGCTCCATAAGTTAGCTCCTCTGTGCCAGGGTGTGGAGCTGTGTTGGCAGAGGTGTCCTGTACAGTACTTAAAGCCCAGGCTCCCACAAAAGGCCCTGCAACACCCAGCTCAGATCACAGCAGCGATGGATTCACTGCCATAAGGATGGTAGCAATGGGGAGGATACAGAGGAGGAATGCGTCCCAGCCTGCACTGGTTCAGGGTGCCCTCGGAGGGGAGCAGTTTCATCTCCATTCTTGCCTTCTCCAAGGATTCATTGTGCATCACCTCCATTAGAAGCTTAACATCAGATCCTGCCCTCCCTGCTGACGGCTTTGTTTAGATTTCTGAGTCACCACTGGGGCCAGGTCCCTACATTCAGGCATTGCAGTGCTGGATGCTGCAGAGGACTGCTGGATGTTGCTGCCAGCTGCAGCCGGTGGTTCCACACATCTGCAGCTCACCAGGCACCACGTGAGTTCCGGGGCTGAGAGACTGTGGGAGTACTGCCCAGCGTGCCAGGGGCTGAGCAAGCCCAGCAGCAGCAGAGCTTCTGGACAAACAAAGCTGTGCAATGGTTCCTAGCCAGCTGCTGGCTGGAGAGCAGCCAAAGGCAGGTACAGGAGCATGGGGGCACAGGGAGGCTGCCAGCGGGGTGACATCTGGGCTTGGATCTTTGGGACAGCAAGGGTCACAGTAGAGTAGAGGCACCAACTGAAAAAAAAAAGAAGCAACAGCAGTCATGAGAGATCTGGCTGAAAATAAAGGGGTGAAAAAAAATGAGAAAGAAAAAACACCAAAATTGGGTTGCATTATTTACAGCAATTGAAGGTTTTATTTTGGTGTTTTTCATGGCTGTAAAATATGTCCATTGGTGTTAAAAGTCATAATGTCAATCTTAAATCTGCTGGGCTTCCCTTTACCCTGAAGTCTTCCCATTTTTTCTGAAGTGGACTTAGATCCTGCAGTGGCTGTAGATGTGGGAAATATCACTATGTCTGAAGTGAAAAGCCTAAATCCAAGATTTTAAGTTACTTGATTGATTCAAGTTCTTGCAATTTCTTCAAACTGTATTTGGGGAGCTGCCATTTCCTCCAGGTCAAGACTTGGCTGTGCACACAGCAGCAAGGGCACCTTCCTGCTGGAGTGATGCCCGTGGGCTGCTGGACCCCTGTGCCACAGGTTCAGTGTGAGTGTCCAGGGAACCAGACTGAGCTGGGTGCTTGGGAGAGAGCAGCTCTAAGGGCAAGGGAGCTGACAGCTCCCCTGAGGCTCCTGCTGAGGCAGCTCCTGAGCAGTGGGAAGCTGGGTGGTCCTGCTGTCCCCATGCTCGTGGCTCTGCTGGCTGGCCCAGATCAGCAGGACCTGGTCCTGGGCAGAGCAGGGCAGTGTGGAGCTGAAGGCCAGCCCTGCTGTGGCACTGATGGGACAGGGACTGGCAGCCACAGGGTAGGGGCCAGGCAGCTTTCCTGGTAAGTCCACTGGTACACTCAGCCAGCCCCTCACCTCTCTGCACCTGGGGAAAATGTCCCCACAGTCCTCTCCTGCTGGGTCCCTGTCCTCCCCTGTCATGTCCCTGTCCTCCTGAGCAGCTTGTTCCCATTGCTCCTCATCCTAGTGCTCCCCATTATGTTACACAGTTCTCGTTCAGTGCTTATAAAATCAAACCTATTCTGCAAGGGCTGTCATCTTAAAAGAGTCAAGATTTTCCACCTCCTCCCACCTGTCATCTTCTTAAAAAAAGGCAAGCTTTTCCACCTCCTCCCATAAAACAAACCCTTGGCTCTTTAACACTGATGGACAGAGTGTTCTCTGGCATCCAAACGAGATCTTGCTAGAGCATTGTACCATTCATTGTATCAGTACTTCCCTATCACTGCTGGAAATTCTGCAGTATTTTGAGTTGTCTTTGCCTTTTAGAGTTCTGCAGTGGTGGTTCACAGTCATTCTGTGATTGCTGAGTGTGGCCAATGTTTCTCACTTCTCTCATTCCCATCTCACTCATGACCTTGAACTTTGTTCTGTGAAAAAGCAAAAAATCAGAAGTGAAACAGACCATTGTGGTGTTGCTCTCTTTGCTGAGTGAAACAAAGTCACTCCAAAGCATAGCTTTGTATGTTGCTTGAAGATCTCCAGATAAGGTGGAAAAAATTACAAAGCTTCTTTGCACTTCATGGTGGAGAACCTGTCCTTACAGAAAACCAGCAAAGAGAAAACTTCCCTTAATTTCCTGCAATTACAGCAAGAAATAAAACCAACAAAAAGAGACATACATTGGTCTTCTCCTAAATAAAATTCAAAAATTTATCACTTTAATCTTAAGGGGATTTCCTTTACCTATTTTTCTCTTGAGAGGTGGTAACTAGAATAAGCAGATAAAAACTTGCCTTGCTTGCAACAACTCCCCCTTTTTTAAACACCAGATAAACCAGTTGTTTCTGTGTAATTGAAAGGAGTTAGTTCACTAAGTTTACAGGCAGATTTTAGCTGATAATGTTCTCTCCCTGGTGAAGGATTTCTGAAGGTTTTCTTACTCAGCCTAATTAAGAGGCAGACTCAAATGACAGTACAAGATAGTTGAGGGTTTTTTTTTTGTTTTCCAGATTTTGATGATCACAATTCTCCTTTTACAGGAAAGCAAAGAATTATAAAAATGGCTACGACGGCAGCAAATACTCAAAGACAAGCAATAGGCTGCGAGGAGTACAGTCTGTACAGCAGCCTGAGCGAGGATGAGCTTATAAAGATGGCCATCCAGCAGAGCTTGGAAGAGGACTCGGCGGGCCAGCCGGTGGCCCAGAGCCCCCAGAAGTCGCTGGTGGCCCATGCTGGTGAAGTGGGCGCCCCAAGCCGTGCCAGCCCACACAACCCTCCCTACCGCATCTACCCCTGGCAAAGGTAAGGAGTGCCAGCCCGAGCTGCTCCCCGAGAGCCCTGGCAGGAGGGGAAGGCAGGCTCCCTGTCAGTGCACTGCTCTCTAATTAGCACTGCCAGGCGCCTCCTCTGCCAGGCTGTCATTAGCGTTAAAGCCGGAGCCTGCTATAAATCCAAAGAGGTCAACACTCTACATGCTCGCAGCGAGAGGAGGATGTGCTTGATGTTGTCTGTTTTAAGCAACAAATTAAAAAAAGGGCACAGCCACAAGCTTTCCTGAACAGAAGCCCTCCCAAGGCCAGCTGCACCTTTCCGCCACTGTATGCCAAGCTTACATTTTGTCAGAGAGGGAGCAAAGCATATGTTACGAGAAAACATAAAAGAGGCACAAAAACCAGGTATATAAAACAGTGAGACCTGACTACCTGTTAAATACTTCCGTTTTTAAAGGGTGTGATTATTCCACATCAGTCTGACTCCAAGGACACCAGTCTTAACCAAGAGCAACTCCAGACACCAAATCATGGCAGCATCCCCCTCCCCTGCAATACTGAGCTGTGGTCACAGAGACTTGCTGACAGTTTCAAACCAAGTCCTTGTTCCCCTTTCATTTTATAAAAGGCAGGTTTCTCAAGGGGGATGGGAATAGATTCCAAAGTCACTTCCAAAGCAAGGAAAAATATCCTTTTAATATTTTAAGTTACTTTAGTGTTCTCTTTATTAATAAACTGAGAGTTACTGAAGTTCTGTTCCTCCTCCTTTTTCATAACTCCACCACCCTCTAATGCCTTGCTCATTACCACCTGTGGTTGTTTGGTTTTCTAGGCTGGGAAACTGGGGATAATTTGATGAGCAGCAAGCATGTGCATAGCTGTGGAATCAGGATGCTGTGCGGCCAGCAGTCCTGCTCCCACCAAAGACTGTGGTTTCTATACGTGGTTACTGTGCACCTCTACAGCCAGCTCTCCTGTAGAGACCTAATGCAGGGAAGAATAAGGGCTTCCCTGGCCATTTGGTCCTGTCCTTGTTGAAGGTCCTTCAACACCTGCTCTTATGGCAAAAAGCATCATTAGCAGTTCTGTGCATTGTCTGTCCTGCCTCAGCCCAGCAGTGTTCAACCTCTCACCAGAGGGAAAACCTCTGGAGCTTGAAGCACTAAATCTGTAGCATGGCTGAACTCTTCTGCCACCTGGGAGAGCAGAGATGGAAATGGAGCTGACATCCAGCAGCTCTGGGTCCTCCTCTGCCCCCACCTCCGACGTGTTTGCATGGCACTTTGGAGGTGACAAATGTCACCTCACCTCACTTTGTGCCTGCTTCCTGTGTGGTGGTGGTAGGGTTAACCACACTGTTGTCTTATATGGTCATTTGAATCCCCTGACGCTTCCTCAGAGGGCCAAAAATAAACTCGAGCCGAGTGAGCAGCTGAATCCAGCGCAGAGCAAGCCGTGGCCATCTGCTTTTATTCAAAGCCCTGACCGGCAGCTCGCTCGCTGTGTCTCTGTGGATGTGTGTCTCTGCTTCTGCCTCAGCATGACCTGTTTCTCCTATTCCGAGTATTTCTCCTTATTTCACTCGTGTCATCGCCACTCCAGATTGGCGGCCCAGCAGACAGGCCGTGCTCAGCCGTCCAGCTCGGGGGCAGCCTGGGGGGTCAGGCGAAGGTGCGACAGCAGCCAGTTCAGCACTTCCCAGTCCGTGTAAGTGTCTCCCTCTCCCTCTCCTGCTTTTCCTTGCAGCCAAAACAAGCCTTGCTACCCGCTCTCTCCCTGAGACATGTCTTCTGGGTGGTGATGGTGCCTGCTGGGGGGAAATGTGGTGTTCATCTGGAGGAGGTCTCACTGACACCTGCACCTCACCCTTGCTTCACTCCTGTTCTTCCTTCCAACCTCCCCGCTGCCCCAGGCCATGCCTGTGCTCTTGAAAGTGACACACCTAAAATATCCCTTGTTCTCTTCTCCCTCTTCGTCTCTCTCCATCCCCCAGTGCTCATGTCCCAGGGACTCTGGGTCAGTCAGAAGCTCTGAGGTGACAAGGACAACAGGGACGGGATGACTGCACTGTGGTTAATTTACATAGGCTGGCTCACTTATCATCAGGATAGATGAGGCAGGCAGGTGCTGATAGTAACTGCATTGGTATTAAGTTCAGGGCTCAGTAATGGGGAAAAGTAGGGGGGAAATGTATCACAGTATATAAACAAGGTGAGAAAGTCCAGTCCTTCAAATAAGTATTTTATAAATGCTCCCATGATGCCATACCTGTTCCCACCCATACCTGTGCTGCCCAGCCATCCAGAGGAGGGCTTACTTGTCCAAGGAGGAAACAGTTTCTTGGCTGTCTGATCCTCCTGGCCATGGTTTGCTGTTGTCAGAGGCTGCAAATAAGCTTAGTTGAACACAGTCATGGATGAGGAAAGCAGAGAGTGACTCAAGCTCTGGCTCAGTACCTGTGTTTAGTGGAAATATGTGGACATGATGGGACCCAATACAAATTTAATTTAGTCCATCTTACAAGTCCCTCCCTGGATGCAGGGATTACCCTTCCACCACTCTCCTTCCTTTCACCTCTCATCCAGCTCTACAATCTTCCCCATCTTCCCCTGTATCCTGGCTGATTCAGACTCAGTTCCTGGCCCTTTGTTGGCATTGCACTCCCTGACATTCTGAAAACCTCTTCCTGCTACAACATGAAGCCAGCCTTATCCCTGTCACCTGCCAGCTTCCCTTGGCCACACTTAAATCACATCCTCTCACTAGGTGCTCTGCACTCCTTGCATGCCTCTTTGTAGAAGACTTGAGGGCAGGCTGTTCTTCTCCACCAGGTAGCTGCATAGATTTCAGTGTACAAGAAAGCTGATAAACTAACCCTCCTCTGCTGCCAGGTACAGCAAAAATATAGCTGGCAAGTCCTAGAAGAGCATGGTGGCATGACTGGCATTTTTATAGCCTTAGTCTCAGAGCTAGGCAGGGATGATGTTTCACTTCACCTGGGGAAGTGGTGTTCCTTCATCCTGCCTGCATCTCTCCAGGCTGTCAAGAAAAGAAGGAGCTTCTTGAACCTTTCCATGCTTTGCTGAACCTCTTCTTCAACACTCAGAACTGACCTCATCATATATCTCATCTGCAAGGGGTATTTATTATCTTGCCTACTGGTCTTTGAAATACAGTAATTTTTTTCAGTTGCCTATAAGGTTTAGATTTGTTCATATCTTCAGACTTCCTCCATAGTTTTAATGCTCTTATTTTCTATAGCTGATGAAATCCAGGCAGCAGAATGTGGTGGGTTTTTGTAACAGCCAACTATAAGTCAGGCAGAAAACAAGGATTTCACATGGAGATTCATTAAACCTTCTGTTCTGATCTGGAATTTTCTTGGCTAAAGCATCTGCAGCCTGGTCCAGCAAACCCCCTCATCTTACTCAGGAATCATTTAAGGTCAAGGAACCCGGCAGACGTTTGCTTCATTCAACATCTGAGGGCTTAAGCAGAATAGTAACTGATTCTTCACACATTTTTAACCCCAGCACAGATCCAAGGTACCCTCCCTCTTTCCCTGAGGTCTCAGATAATGTGATTTACCTTGCATTTGCTGTGAGCCAGCCCATGCACAGACCCCTGCCATGGCCCACCTGACTGCAGTAATTCATTAAGCACCAGTAATTATATCATGTGCCCAAATCCTGAGGTCACAGCCCTACATGTGTAACATGAGCCTTTGCACAGAACAACAGATGGTTTCAGCAGCCTTGTGCCAGAGGTGTTGAAAGATGAAGATCCCCCACCTCCGCCTCCTCTCCCAGCCAAAAATGCCAATAGTTGCTGTCAGCAGAATTTCACAAAATGCTCAAACACCTGTATAAAAATCCATTATATTTACACAATTAGGAATCTTAGGTTTAGTCCCCAGGGTATGTAAGCAGTGTGGAGATACAGCAGTGTCCCTGGGACGATCGGCCAGCAGTTATCAGGTCAGTCAATTCCTCCCAGGACGGCTGTGGCCAGGACAGCAGCTGTCTGTTCTAGTTGTTATCTTCTCAGGAAAAATGCCTGGCCTTGTGTCCCATACCTCTCCTCATTCCAGTGTTGCTATTTTTGTGACCCTACTGTCTTGAAATCACTGCTTCCAGCTATAGAGAAGGAGCAAGTGGCACCAAGTACTATTTCACCTGGGAAATGGTGTCTTTTCCCATTTTCTGGCACAAGTATTGAGATCATCTGTTCCACTCCTGGCCCTGAATTTATTCTCGGAAAAGCAGCCTGGTGAATTCTTTCAATGCTAATATCAGTGTTTATGGCATAGATTGTGTGCCTTTGGGCAAACTGAAATTAGTGAGGCCTGTATGAGTTTCAGGCTGTCTGTCCAGCCCCTACAAGGCAATAGAGTTCAGTGCTGGTCTGTAACTCCCATGAAGTGCAGAGGTTGCACCAGTATACTGCTTTGTGAGGACTCCTGTGCTGACCTGCCTATGTTTTTCTCTCTCTGATCTCACTCTGTTGTGGTATTTTAGACTTTCCTCTTGTCATAACTGGAGTTTCTGGTTGTTCCCATCATCACTAGTCTGCGTGACCTCCACCACATGCTATATTCCTGCCCTGGTAATGCTAATAGACTGAGACATGCACCTCTCTCTCACATCTCTCTGTCTTCAGGACTGCAACATTTTCTCTGTAGAGCAAGTTCAAACCACAAATGCTCCAGTGCTTTCTGCAACTTCTTGTTTTCTCTCTCTGCAACTATAGCCCACAGTCATTTCTTGCAAGTCCCAATTAGAACTGGTAAAGTGTTTCCTTCCTTCATGCTGAATCTGTCATTTAGTGCATCACAATAACAAAGCTGTGGCTGCCTTGTCCCAGCACAGCTCAGCTGGAGCCCAAGCAGATGCCAACACTGGGAGGCACAGCCCACCAGCATGCACAGAGCTGCTGCCCACCATGGGCAAGGGTTCTGCCTGCCTTGGCTGCAGGGTATGAGCTCCCCAGTCCCTACCTCTGCCATGCTACTGGCAGGGGTGGCAGGAGGGTGCCAGGTCCTGTTCAGGTGCTGCTGACCTGGGGAGGAGTGGCTGTCAGGCAGTGTTGGGATTCCTGCTCTGTGGGGAGACTCACAGAAGTTGTCAGAGTTGCTCTGCAGTAGGATTGGTGTGCCCAGGTCAGCCCTGCTCTGCAAACACTCAGGGAGTCGGAGAAATGGGTTGCTGCCTGTGTGGAATGCACGCCTGGCAGAGGGATCTGGGTAGGTGGAATTTTTTCAATCCTCTCTGGATGAAGAAAGGAGAGCCAAGACCAACACCCCAGTGTTCACATACTCTAAACAGAGCTCTCCCTACTTCTTAAGGGGACTGGCTAAATTCTGAAAACGGGACTGTGTGAGGAAATAAGAAATAAAAATACAAGAGTAAGATTTATTAATAATTCCTGTTAAATCAAATCTAAAAATTTGTTTTAGGATGAACAAGGGTAATTCTTTTCAAAGCTGATCTTATTTAAAAGATCTCATATGGAACACCATGCCACATGTGTGATGATGCAATTATCAGTCATGGACACTCCACAGTGTATAGAGCAATGTCAGAGCCAATTTTCCACAACTCCTGACACCTAAAATAAAAGTGTTTGTGCAAAACATTTGTTTCATGTAACTAGTTCCCTTACATTGTGAGGAGAGTGATCAGTATCTCCAGACAGTGATTCTTCTGATCTGTTGATAGTAACAAAATTAGAGAAGACAAATTTTACCTTTACAGGCCCTATGGTATAGGGGCCCTACTGTATAAATATGTGCTATATAGGCTACAGGGGTTCACCCTTTTGGGCAAATAAAACAGTGATGTTGCTGCAGAAAACTCAGTAATGAAGGAAGCAATAACCAAGTTTTAATCTTGTTTTAAAGAGAAATTGACCCTGTAGTGGCAGCAATCAGGGATGGAGATGAAAAAGCAGTATGCAACATGATGAAATCAGGAAAAAACCTTTCTGTACCTAATAAGGATGGCTGGATACCCCTCCACGAAGCTGCATACTATGGCCAAGTGGGCTGCCTGAGCCTGTTGCAAAAAGGTCAGTGAAGTTTAAACCAACTAATTACAAAAGGGAAAAGAACACAAATAAACTAAAAGGCCAAATTATCAATATTTCAATCCTAGCCTGGGGCTGTGTATGAAGTGTCTTTCCAACTTCCCTGCCTGTATATTAATTTCACCTTCTCTTGGAAAGTGGGTTTCCAGACTGAAGCCTCTAAAAATAACGATATTTGGGAGAAAGTGATACAGGATAGATTCTGCCAAGCCCTGGATTTCCCACGCTCAGGCCTTGAAGCAGAGCTCTCTCCTGTTATGAGCTGCTTGGATGCTGCAAGCTGACAGGAACAACCCCACTTTCCCCTGGGGGAGGATCCAACCCAGCATCTCTTTGCTGATTCTTGAAGTTAATTACTGTAGTTTGTTTTCAAACTTCAGGTGAAGAACAATTGCTCAACAACTTTCTGCATCACTAGTGGCCAAAGCTGAACATTTTAATTTAAACTGAAGACAGGTTTCAATACTCAACCTGAGTTATAGTAACATTATATTAGTATACATTATATATATATACATTAGTGTATATATAATATATCTATTGTACTATATGCATTAGTATATTCCTAACTTACACTGCTTATGGAAATGAATAAACAATAAAAACTGAAACCCTCAGGGATTTAGAAGGGTGCTGGTGCTGCGGATACTTGAGCACTACATGCCACAATGACTTTGGGCTCACCGTTGCTCCACAGCGTACCCAGGCACCATCGACCAGCGCACCCTCAACGAGGAGACAGCTCTGTACCTGGCCACCAGCCGGGGCAACCTGGACTGCCTGCTCACCCTGCTGCAGGCTGGCGCCGAGCCCGACATCTCCAACAAGGCCAGAGAAACGCCGCTCTACAAAGGTGAGGAGCTGCTCCTGCAGGCATGCACAGCTCTGCTGGCACCACCAGGCAGAACTGCAGAATCACTCGTGATGAGGTGCTGAAAGGCAGTGATTAGCTCTGGATTTCTGCTTTCCTGTGATGGTCCTCTATCTCCTATGCCTGACCTGCCATGCCATGGCCTTTATCTCATCCTGTCTCTGCAGACAGGAGCAGCAGCTGTCCTGTGATGGGGTGCTGAGGGTGAGGGACATTCTCAGTAGGGCCCTAAGCACAGGCTGGCTGCACAATGTCCCAGACTTACAGAAAGCTGGCCAGGGAAGCACTATGTATGCTCTGATGAACAGTAGGGCCTAAGTAGCTGCTAGATGTGCAAGCACAGTGACTGTAGACATGCCAGTGATTCATACACTATGGGGGTCAGGCCACGCTGTGTGCTATAGGAGAGTCATAAAGTTATAAACAATTCAGTGAGGTAGATAAACTATTTAACACAGACATATTACTTTGCTGCTGATTGGACAGAACACTTCTTTTAGCAGACTAGCAATATATCCATGATATCACAAACACTCAGAGGAGACGTCTCACACCTTCATGTCCAACCTCCTTTGCTCCTGCCATGACAGTTTTTAGCACTCTAAAACATTAAAAACATATATTACAGGTTTAAACAGCAATCTTGCTCCAACTTTGGATGCCTAGCATTACAGCTGCTTTTAACATGATTTTGGTTTAAAATTCTGGCTTTTAGTTGATCAAGGAAAAGCTGTTCACCTGTCCATTAAAGACACAGTAATGGTTGCAGTAGTAGTAGTAGTACTCATAGTAATAATAATCACAACAACAATGATATGAAAACACCCTTTAGCCAGAGAACTGTTACAAAGAATGAGCTAGCCTTGATGCAGTATCTTCTACACTATCCTCCAACAACAACAACAAAGAGTTAAAAAGACTGTCATAACAAAATAGTCATCCCTCACATTAAATCAAATTAAACTCTGCAGAGCTATGGATAGATAATTACAGAAATGTCTAATTATATAGTTGCTTTCAGTATATGAGTGACATCTGTTTATGGAGAAGAAAACTATGGAGCTATTGCTAAGAAGAATCAGAACTAAAAGGTGGAACCTCTGTGAGAAAAAGACACTATTATTTCAAGAAAAAAACTAATTGCTGTGAAATGTGCTTCTCTTCTGTACAACAGATGCTAATTGGGGTTTTTCAAGGTAGCTACTCATCCTATGTATCTTTAGGTTGGAGTCCTGCCATTAAGGTGCAGAGGAGGCCCCAAGATTTGGGATTCAAAAAGCTGTGGGCAAATTGGTAGAATAAAAATCAACAAAATGCTATTAATTATTAAGAAATTATATTTAGCTCAGGATGGTCCTGAACTATAAATTGAACTATAAATTGAGAAAGTTGTTGGTTTGAGCTTTTTATATTTTCTTGTCTACATGGAGTTTTATCTGCAGTCCATGGCAGTAAGATGAAGAGTCTGTTTGCACAGAATTTGGAAAGAAAGTGTTCAGATCACGTGATTTCTCTAAGTTATTTGTTCTTCATAAATTACTTCCTGTACCTTATCACCTCACTGTGTCCCTGAGGTTTCCTGTTGGTACAAATGTGCTAGGCCAGATTCCCCCAGTACCAGACATGACCCAAGCCCTACACAGGACACTTAGCCAGGTCTAGTTGAAGACTGGCTTCACTGTCACATCCTTTCTGAGCCTCAGACAATGTCACTTGGCAGCAGCCTTTGCTCTCATTAGACCTAAATGGATCTCTGGTCTTACCACGGCCTACTCGTATGATATTGCCTTGGGCTGCATGAAACAGATACACAACACCCAGAATATTTTCAAAAGCTGCCATTCTCTTCCTGTTTTTCTAAAACAGCTTGTGAGCGCAAGAATGCAGAGGCTGCAAGACTCCTGGTGCAGTACAATGCAGATACCAACCATCGCTGCAACCGAGGATGGACCGCTCTCCATGAGGCTGTCTCCCGCAATGACCTGGAGATCATGGATATCCTTGTGAAAGGGGGTGCCAAGATTGAGTCAGCAAATGCCTACGGGATCACCTCTTTGTTTGTGGCAGCTGAGAGTGGGCAGTTGGAAGCTCTGAGATACCTTGCAAGATGTGGTGAGTACAGCTTTCATGCATCTTTTCATTTAATTCTTAATAATTCATAGTTTCCAGGTAATTCTCCCTGGCTCAGTTTTTGTCTCTGGAGGCCAGGCCTAGCCTGCAGAGGCACTAAGTCCCTGCTGCTCCTGATGCTGGAACTGGGTGGGGTCTTTCACAGAGCATCATCTAGACACACGTTCTTCTTCAGCATTCATTCATGATCACCTACTTTGAGAAGTCATGTGGTGCTGTCTGACTGCATTTCCTAATAGCTTTTAAACCCATACTGCTACACACATGTAGCCTAAAATCCAGTCAGTCATAAAAGGCAGCTTCAGGTGGTAATAGATGGCAGAAGTTGAATTTCAGCCAAACCATCTGCTCGTGAACATGTGCAGTGATGGGCAAGGTTAGCTGTCCTCATAATGTATCCTCTGAAAACAGATAAAAGTACTACTGTAGAGTTTATGGGTTTATCAAATAGAAGCAGACTTTCTTTCCCTATGTGTAAATGTTCAAACATATTAAACAGAGTGAATATTAATCTAATTTACACTAAACCTATCATTTACTGCTCCAGTCATGTAAAACATCTTTACAATAAGCACAATACACTTCACTACTATTCTGAGGCGTATATAATTTTCACAATGAACTAATATCTTCAATGTATGTAAGACTTGGGTCCTGCACTTGCAAAACAAGAGTTTACCAGTGAGGAAGATAAGAAAAAGTTTTGAAAAAAATAGTATGATTAAGAAAGATATGAGAGTTGGGAAACAAAAAATGCGCTTTGCTGCCCAGCTAGTCTTGTCAGAGAGTTTTGTATGACCAGTTAGTCCATCATGCTGCCTATGACTTAAGAAACTAAGCCAGAATGTGATTTGTGTTTTAAATTAGATAGATATTAAGATTTCCTTAAAGTGCATTTTTGAAAAAAATACACAAGAAAAAGTCCAATAAAACTGTCCAATTGTTTCAAGCCCTGAAAAGCTCTTCTGAGCATCCCAGGAATGATATAATTCATTGCTTATGATGAGCAATTTTCATAATAAAAAGGGTTTCTTTCTCATTAGGAACACAGTCCTGTGTTATGTTTTGTTACTGTAATTCTCCTGATGTTTCCAGCTACAACATCTTCAAAGGGCCAAACACAACACAGATGTTTCAGCTTAGGGTGAGAGCCCAGGGAAATGTTCTCATTGGCAGGGAGTTTTCAGGATCAAACAGAAGACTGATCAGTTTCTTTATTGCAGTTTAGAAGCAAAACTCCAGTGAACTGACATTCCCATTTAGGATACACATAGAGCAGCCTTCTTGAGAACACCATACAATATATGACAGCCAAAATCCAGGCTGAAGGTCCTTAAATACCTACAACAAAAACAGCTAGATTCCATATTGTTTATGGCAAAAAAGTGTTGTCTTGGTTTATACTTGCATGTTATTTATTAAGCAAAAGTACACATTAGAGTTCAAGAAGGAAATTACTAAATAGTCTAGTAGTTAGTTGGTAATATTTATCTTTTTTGTAGTAAAACTTACCATTTGAAGCCTAACTACAACCCTCATGAAGTGAAGAGATACGGCCTCAAGTGCTGAGTTTTGAAATGCAATGTTCATTGATTAGGGCACTCCCAAATAAAACCTGTTTAGAATTGTTGATCAACACTATGCAGATGTCATTTTATAGACTATTATTTTAGCTTGGATACATACTAAAATTAAAAAGAAGTATAAATACTATAAATCTGTGTAATACTTACAGTGTGACTATATAGAGTAAAAATTAGAAATATAAATAAATATATAGCATAAATAAATATCCATAGAATTTTGGAGAGCACCTATTGAGATAGTCTAATCCAAATTCCTGCTCAGGAATAGTATATATACATAGTGTAAACACATAAATATTAATGGAATTACTGTGTTTGAAGGAAAGGCCATGCCATATAAAGAACAGCTCATTTAATTTTTTTTTACCTTTGAGCTGAATGGAGCCTGGATTCATGATTGGGACCTAACAATTGCCACCCATGATAAACTGTCCCTCATAAAATTCTCATCATATTATAAACCAATGTAAATCTATGATATAAATGTATATAACTGATATGACTGTGCCACCTGTGATATGACCGTGTTCACATCCTCATCCAGCACATTTCATAGCTCCAGTGTCATGGAAATATAAGTGTTCATTCAAAGTATGTTTGTCCCATCTAATTTTAACCTTTTGGTGCTAAAAGGTTTCCTTCCTTCCTAGGTGCTGATATAAATACACAAGCCAGTGATAACGCCTCTGCCCTTTATGAAGCCTGTAAAAATGGACATGTGCCCATTGTGGAGTTTCTTTTGTCCCAAGGAGCAGATGCTAACAAAGCCAATAAGGATGGCCTGTTACCTCTTCACATAGCAGCCAAAAAAGGGATTTGCGAGTAAGTTTTAGTCAGTTTAGTGGTTTCATCTTTTAGACAAGAATCCAAAGTCCTTACAACAAGGAGAATGTAATGTCCCAGAACCAGTTCTGAGCAATGTGAGCAAAGCAGGTAGCAGCTGACAAGTGGCTTTCTGCTTGCAGAGCTCAGGCTGGAGAGCGTGTTTGGAGGCTGGGATGGGATGGGGTGAGCAGCAATGCTCAAGGGTGAAAGATTCCTTTAATTTTACCAAGGCATCATCTTTACAGCTAAATAACATCATGTATCTTAAGTGGATTAAACTGAAGTCCTCAAAATATTAGTAAAATATAATAGAAAAAGTATTAATAGCCCTTGCAGCATGGTTTGTAATAATTTTCCTACACGGGCCCATTGTGATTCTTCTGCACAAGCAGAAGATGCTGGATTTGTCTCTGGTGTGTTCAGGTTTTAATAACAATAATTCAGTTGCTGACAGCAGGAAGAGGTTAAGTGAATCTCTAGAGCATTAGTGAGATTGTCACTAGAATATGGTGTCCAGTTCTGATATCCTTCCTTTCAGAAACATTTCAGGAAATTGTAAAGGCCTCAGAAAGGAAGGACAAGAATTTCTCATGGTCTAAAAAATAGATTTTATTAGTGAGTGATCAAATATCTCTTATTTGTAACAGATAATTTCATAAAAAGACCCACTGTTTTCTTTCTGAAATTAAATGTGTTTGGGACAGAGCTGAGCACAATTTTTAAACAGGGAGACAAGTAACTAGTGGAAAAAATAAGCAGAAATCAGGTAGAATTACCAGTCCTCTGAAACAGAGATTTTTCTAGGAAAGTGACAAACTCTATATGATAAAGAATATGATAAGCAATATCAATTTAGAAGATGCTGTCTGGGGATGGGATGTTGCACTGTCATATAAGTAGTAACCTGGGACATTGCAGGATGCCCCTGAGCCTGAACTCCATAGCATTTACTTCTGATCCTAGAGCAAGTTTTAGTTCCTGCTTTTAATCCCTCACTGCTGGAAAAGCGAGTGACATACAGGTAATTTTTCATTGTAGTAACAGATCCCTTTAGGGACTGTAGAGGATCCCTCTGACTATCACAGTTTCTACCAAAATATTTCTACAACAGGCAAAGGAGAGTGTCTGTCCAACTGCAATGACTGGTTCTGGACAGGACAGCAATCTTTGCAGTGAACTGCTCAAGTAGATTCCTACATATTTCACAGTATCTGAGGAATAAAAGCTTTTAACATCACTACTCCTTCCCATAATGTTTTTCATTCTAGCATTTAGGTTTGTTTGGGAATGCCAATTAAGCTTCTCAAATCACTTTGATAGACCTGAAGATATTAATTTTCTGTAGTTGGAGTAGGCCTGGTTCCTTGTGCAAGCTGTGTATTCTAGAGGGCAACTCAGTGTCAACTTATGTAACAGGTTTATACACTTACATCATGTACATGAATACACTGCACTGACTAATACATGCATGATTCAAAATTTTCTCCAGGATTATAAAGTTATAAAGTCATTTTCGTGTGAGAGAGACAGAACTCAGCTTCAGTTGTTCACTGTCTAAAAAGTTTCTCTGAAAGTACAGTAAGTTGATCTCAAATATATAGAGTATGGGCCAGCTCTCTGAATATTTCCCTCCCCTCAAGTAGTCTCACACTCTGACCTGATAAGAAATTTGCAAACTCCACAACTCGAATTTACCCCTGGGTTATGAAAGGAAGGGCCTGATTCAGGGCTCATATCCATTTTCCCCAACCACCAGCAGCATAAATGAGACCAGAATTTAGTTCAAACTGTGTTCCTTCACTTGTAAAAGACTGAGCACAAATTTTGTGCATAACTGCTGCAAACTAAGTAGAAAAGAAAGACAAAAGAAAAATATATTCTCTTATAAATATTTATCTAAATGACAAAACTTTAGCCTGTTTGGCTGATCATTCTTAATTCCTCGGGTATTCAGTAAAATAACACCCTTCATGGTGACCTCTGTATTCCTGCAGATTTAGTACGTAATTCTGCAGGAATTCCACACTTCAACTTTTTGCCAGAGCACGAAGGCTCCCTACCATCAAAAAGCCAAGAATGTGGTCCCAGGGCTCAACTGTCAACTCTTGTTTCTTGGTGTTTGTTTATTTTAAATGACACCTTGTCAATACTGACCTGAAATTAATAAGGATCATCTCATAAGCTGCAAGCAGTAATTTAACTCTTTCCCCCTTAGAACTGAGATGTTGAAAAGGGAAGACTTCATGTCATGGTTTGATATTGGCACAATGCCAGTGCCCCCATGAAAATGTGATTTTTATTTTGAATGTTGTGAAGTGGAATTTAGAATAGAGCAAAGCAGGCCTAAGCTTAATAACAGGAAAAAAATTTTATTAAACTATTATTATTAAAGAAAAGAGAAAATTAAAGAAGGGGGAGAAAAAAACTACACAAAGATCAAATGAAAACCTTGCAAAACATTCCTCCCCCCACCACCCAACTCTAACAAACTACAGTGAGACACAATCTGGACCCCAATCAGGTTTCTACCCTCTAAGCAATCGATATTCAGTCCATCGAGGGAACAGAGTCTCTCCTGTGCCACAGACCTCCCCAAGAAACACAGCTTCACATCTTGTGTTTCCATGTCACACATGGCACCGCCCGGAGAAAAAGTTTGCCATGGTGACCCTTCTCCTTTCTATGCACAGTGCTTTCACTATCAATGCATGGATGGTTAGATTGCCTTTAGGATTTTTCCTTTCAAGGATGCCCTGCCAAGAGGGGAGAAAACAACAGTTCAGTTTTTCATTGTTTGAGACCACAGTCCCCCCCATTTTCCCCTGGGGCCGAGGGCTCAAGAACAGAGATTTTCTTCTCTTCTCTTTTTTTTCAAGGGCAAGGGGGTGCCACCACAAACTCTCTAATCTTTTCTCTGTTCACTTCACTTTTGTCTTTTTTTTTTAGCTGAAGTAGGTCTTTTGACTCACTGGCATCTTCCCAAAACACAGTCCCTCTTGACGGAGAAGATTTGGTTCAGGTTGTGGCTAACACGGAAAAGTCCAGCCAAAAGCCACTCCTTGTCCCCCTCCTATCCAGAATTTCTCCTTCCAACATCCCATCCCAGGGTCTAAGGTGTCCCTCTTCCTCTCTTTCAAACCGAGGAGGGGAAAGGAAAATTCACAAAGCTTTCATTTCTCAAGAAAGGGTTAAAAGTCCGAACTCCCAGGATGGCTCGATGCCCGGACATCCAGCAACTCCCACACAACTGGGCACCTTGCAGCAGCTCCCCCCGCTCCTCTTTCTTCGCGGCTTTCTCTCTCCCTCTCGGGAGAGGAACTCTGGGGGGGGAAATGGAGACATTCCAGATTTCTTCCACCCTTCTATCTGCAGGGGCCAGCCCGGTTTCAGTCCTTTTACCACTCTTGGGGCTTTTGGCCTACCTTTCTCAGGCCATGGGCTTCCCCTCCCCCACCCAGCTCGTGGCTGGGCGGGGGAAGGTCTGCACTGCACGCTGACCGGAACCAAAGAGAGCGAGTTCCCCTGGGAATTCTGCTTTCAACCCCTCTGTGTTCTCAGAGGCGTGTCTACTTTCAATTGGTCAATATCTAAATTGACCCCTTCCTTCCGGAAAAAATTATCTTTCCGTGTCAAACTACGACACTTCATGAAGTGTGGGCAGACTTATTAAGTGAATACAAGTCAGTAAACACTTGGCATGCTCACACTGAGGATACCGTGCCTCCTCCTAAATATAACCTTTAACAAATAGAAAACACAGAAGCAGGTGTCAGGGATTAGGGAAATCTTGGCACTATTTAAAAACTGTACATGAAGCTTGTTCCTGTGACAGAGATGGGATGTGATCTGACTTGTCTGGCCTTGGCTGCCTTCACTTGAGTTGCATTCTCCCTCTAGAGAAACAGGAAATGCTCCAGAGGCACCATATTACTGAACTGACCCACTTTCGAGTGTGAGAAAGAGACACAGGTTCAAGCTACACAATTAAACTGGTAACAATTTGATGCTTCCTGCTTGTCATACCAAAATAAATGTGGGGTACAAAATAAATGTGTGTACTGAGCTCTAGGACACTGCAGCAATGCAGAGCCTCAGCGTGGCACCCGTGCAGCGAGGTTCAGGTTCCCCTTGCAGACAGAAATGATGCAGTGCCTCTTTAACTCAGATGTGAAGAGCTGGCTGAAGCACATATGCTGGAGGGAAAGAACAAAACAGACCCTTAAATCTTCAAAACATTTGATCATGGGATGAGTAATGCTGGTACTTGGCGTAGTGTCCTCACAGTGCTCTGTGCCCTTTTTGTTATTAGGCTCTTACAGAACATTTGCTGAGGGTGGGAAGTTGCCAGCTCACCAGCACCCAAACCTCCTGCTCCCTGGCAAGTGCCACAGTGCTGGAAAATTAGTGTGACTGCTTGGAGAAAAAAATAAGTGCTTAATTTCCCAAGATATTTACATAATTTTAAAAGCCTTTTTGTTTAAAAATTAGATGTTGTAGATGTAACTTGGAGACATCAACAGTCCATCACATAAATAGGAACATAATCCTGTAAAATTACATCTTCAACCATTATTTCAGATCCTAGGAGTGCTGGAGGCTCAGAATTTCACAGGATCACAAGATTATCACAGACAAAAGTTTTACTGGCTTAGTTCATGATGTAAATATATATTTGAGGTCCCAGTGTTGGGACTAGCCATTGCAGTCAAGCTGAAGATATGCAGCATTTTAAAGGAGACACACTACATGGTAGGAAACTGAGCTTTGCATGTTTGGGTGCCACCAGAGCTGTTGACTGCTAGGTAGAGTAGTCTGCATGGGAGGAAAGGAGGTGGAGAAGGTGTGCATGGCTTCCCAGCTCACACAAGCTCCTATTTAAGATATCCCCCTCTACACAGGTATTGCAAAGGGAGTGTGGGCAACTCCTGACTCAGCAGGCAGACTCAGGCTGGATGATATGTAGGCTCTTTCTAAAAGTAAGTTTTCCTTCAGGTGACTTGTCTATATCTACAGAATCAGCCTAGGGCCTTGGATCTATCACCCAACTTTATAAGCAGGAAAATAAGGTTTAACTCATAGGGTTGGTCATGCAGCTCCATTGACATCTGTACAGACATAAAAATGGTCATGGATTTGTGACTGTAGGGCTCCAGTGCATCATATATTTGAAATTAATATTAAATATTAGAGCAGCTTGATTTATGTTGTATTTAAGACCACAACACACTTTATAATAGCAGTCCCTCATTACTGGAGTTTAGGACTTGGCTGCACACTTTTTGTCCCTCAGCTGAAACATTGAAACCAGCCTGGAAAATATTTTTAATTCTTTTTCTCTCTTTTACTAATGGTCTTTCTGGCTCCCTGTGTTCTGGGATGGACATTGATAGCCCCATGAATTTACCACAGCCAAAAGCCGCACAGTGAAGGCCCGCAGGATAAGGATCAATGCAGGGTAATAAATGAATTGTAAAATCTAATAGGGAAGGCCTGGGAACCAAATCTGTAGTTTGTCCTAGCTCTGTTCTGTCTGCTGTCAAGCTTATTACTATGGCTGTGACCCACAAGACCTGCAAGCACTTTGTGTTGGCACCCTTCTCTGCTGAGCAGTAAAGCAAAACCTGCAAAGGGGAGATACATTCTCTCTGCTGTACCTCAGACTGGAGGTTGTGCACCTTTTCCTCCAGTCCTACCCATAGCATGATGATGAAGGTGCAGAATACCTGGTAGTGCAGAATATCTGGTAGTGCAGAATATCTGGTAGTTCCTGGCTGGTCGTCTGCCATCTGGGCCGTGGAACCCACAAGAAGTTACAACAGGGTGGGTGAGTGCCAGCATGTCACCTCTTCCATTGTAACTGCCCCTGTAGCTGCCATTACATCACAGGAACTGGGTGATAATCTCAAAAAAATGTGTTTCTCCGTGAAAGAGGAAGGTCAAACAACTCATATTTTTGGCAAGGTCAGTGCACAGGGAGTTGCTGACAGGTTTGAGGTTTGCAGTCTGGTTTCTATGAGCTGTTCCTGTGCCTGAGTTAGCAGGCTCTGCCTTACGGGTACAATCATAAAGCTATGAATAAAGCTTGCTGCAGGGCTGTGGATCCCCTAGAGCTCACTGCTGCTCACTGAGTCTCCTCCTGGCAGGATTGTCTCCATGCTGATCCCCGTGACCAGCCGCACCCGTGTCAAGCGTAGTGGCATCAGCCCCCTGCACTTAGCGGCCGAGCGCAACAACGACGATATCCTGGAAGAGCTGATCGATGCTGGCTACGAGGTCAACACTGCCCTCTCTGATGAACGATCCTGCCTTTATGAGGACAGACGCACAACCCCACTCTATTTTGCTGTTTTTAACAACAACATCTACGCCACAGAGCTGCTGCTGCAAGCCGGAGCCAATCCCAATGTTGACCTCATTAACCCATTGCTCATCTCCATCCGCCACGGCTGCCTGAAGACCATGAAATTGCTTCTTGACCATGGGGCAAACATTGACGCCTACATATCAAGTCATCCCACCACGTTTCCAGCTACCATCATGTTTTCAATGAAGTACCTTTCCGTGCTGAAGTACCTCCTGGATCTGGGCTGTGACGCAGGTTCCTGTTTTGAGTGTCAGTACGGAAATGGCCCACACCCTGCATTAAATTACAGGCGGGAAAGACTTAATGATCCTCAGGTGACCAGGGAGCCAGCAGTAGTACAGGTAAGCACTGCCTAGTCTACCCACAGGACTTCTAAGGGTATCTCCTACCAGTGGATTTTTACAACATAAGTGTATTTTTTCATCCAACTTTTTTGTGAGAGAAAATTTCATGATCCCTACTTTATTTACAGAAAAAAAGGCTCAATATGAGCCAGAAAACATTCCAAGTTTGTGTCCAATGACTGCAGCAGGGTAGGCAACAGCCACTGTGGCCATAGCTTGAATTTACAGTGAATTTTAGCCATCTTAACATTCTTACCAACAGTTCTACAATGCTCTTTTCCTCTGGACCTGAGGTGCCAGGAGTGAGGCATATTCTCTTGACAAACATATGGTGTTAGCATATGGGAGTTAGAAACTTTTTTTAACTTGCCCTGTAGGGTTTGTTTTGTCTAACAGAATTTTAGCTACTGGTTACATGAAAACAGTCTAGTGCTTCACTTTGAGGGTAAACTAGTGAATGTGAACAACTGCAGTTTCTGAGTCTACTGGAAAAGCAGTCATGGAGAGAGAGCATGTTATTAGGTTAGCTATGTAACAGAGTTATATTTGAAGATTTCACAAGAGAATAGGAAATTTAGGTGCAAGTTTCATATCTTCAAAGCCACTTATAAGCTTTAGATATCTACATTTTATACATGTATCTTTGCAGGCCTTTCTAAAATGCAGCTGGGGTTAGCTTCCATTGAGCTGGAATGGGACTTTCAATCCCTTAAAGGACTTTGCAGAATCTCAAATTATACTTTTTTTCTGGTTTCTGTATCTCCTCTCCTTCCAATGTATCTCAAAACCTAATGCTCCATTCAAAATTTGCAGTTTTTCAACATGCTAGACAAAAATGAAATCTCAACATAGCAGTTTTTCTATTTTGCAAAAAGTCAGGGAAGAAATCAATCAGCTCCTATCTAGTTTAAGTGCAGCTTTGAGAGATTCAGCAGAATCCCAAAGGTATGGTTACCAATATGTGGAAAGAATAAAAGAAAACATTAAATGATCCTAGGAAATCTTGACCTTTTCATCAGTCATGTCTTCCAAAAGACTTTACTCTCAGGTAACATATCTGGGGGAAGAAAAACAACCAAAAAGAAAATCTTACAGAGAGAATTTTAAGAGTCCTTCACAATAATCTCTTATCTTAAAAAGGGCTTTACTCTCAAGAGTCTTTTGTCACAACAAAATTTATCCAGTATACCATATTTTTTGTCAAAGAAAAAATTATAAAATACATCATCTTTAGTTCTTGATCTGTGATATGGTAGCACACTGAGAGAACAGAGAGATGGAATTCCAAAACAAGTAGACAGGGTTTGTCTGTGGTATCCTAGCCAAAACCAGTTCCTTCTGGATCTCACCTGAAACTATTACCTAAGAAAATATTAGGTCACTCACAAAGAGTCATTGCCTCAAAGGTCACACCATATGAGGCAGAGATAGCAAAAATTGTATAAACATTTTTCTGTATCGAGAGGGAAAGCAGTGAGGAGAGATGCACACATGAAAAAAAAAAAAAAAAAGTAATCCCTTCCCTCTAATATTGTTTTTATTTGCTTTTACTGATAGGATTTGAGCTCATAAAAGTGGCTTCTGTGGTAGCTTCATGATATGTAGTTATGATATGGTTTATATTCTGAAATATGGAGGATCTTATGAAACTACAACCTTCTCCACACAAGGGATGTTCTTTTTCTATTTTTTTTTTTTTTGTGTGTGTAAGATTACATCAGGATAATAAATCTGAATGATCAGTCTTTATAAAGGCTACGAAGTAATGTAACTGGATTTGGAAAATGCACAAATATAAATCATAACTGATGCTACTAAATTAATGTGTCCCGGAGAGAGTGAACACAGAGAAATGGTTTCTGGCTCCTGCAGCTTTGCGGAGCCGCGGCTGATGGCGGGCAGGCGGGACGGGCAGAGCCGCGCGCTGCCGCCAGAGGGCGCCCGGGCTCCTGCCGGGGCCGCAGCCCAGCGCCCCGGGCCGGTCCCCTGCCGCCTGCCGCCGTGCCGTCCTTTCTCTTTATTTCGCTACGCTTATTTTCCTGTGTTTTGAAACGTGTTTATTCCAGAAGATGTTTTTGTAAGCTGAGCTTGTGAACAGGGAAGAGAGAAAAAGGCAGGCAGGGTCTCTTGTGGACACAAGAAGAAAGCAAGTAAGATGCAGTGTTTATGGCCCTGCATGTGTCTTCATTTCAACTCCCCTTGCAAGGAGGTGTTAGTGCAGGTGCCCAGTCCGTGTCTCGCACGGTAACTGCATGGCAGTGACACAAACTCTGCAGAGTGACAGACAGACATGCAAAACTGCACTCCCTATAAGCAGCCCAGGTAGGAAACTGTGGGTTGTCCACCGCCATCCTTCTGATTACTGTCTCTAGTTGTCCTGGGAAACATTACATGGTGATGTTGTCCTGGGAAACATTACATGGTGATGTTCGGTGAAAAATAAGAGTCAGAAAAGTAGTAAACACATCTGTGAATGCTCTCACCTTGAACAAAATAACCTTATTTTCTGCAGCTCTATTTTACTAGGTGAACTAATAAAATTTTACTTCTGAATAAGAGTATTCACACAAGAGTTTAATAATGTTGAGTTAGGACTCCTGCATGAATAATCAAATTTGATCAAGTTAAAGGAATTTAAACTGAGAGAGCTTTAAGATAGTGCATTTTCTTTCCTGTTTGTTGTGGGCTTAGGAGGTGTCTGCAGACAGTCTGAGTGACTAAGTTGATGGATGGTGCTTCAGCCACCATCATTCAATAGGGTTCTGCCATGTGCCTGAGTTCTTATCCACACGATTTAATTAATTTTAAACTTCCTGACTGCTTCCATGCAGATTATGTCCCCAGATAACTTCATCATATGCAGTGTCCTAAGAGAGACAGATGAAACTGACTGGTATAAGATACTGGTATTTAGATTAAAGTGGGCAGATTTTTTCTTTAAATGAGACAGCTTGAAGTAAAGTTCTTAAATCTGCTCTTCAGTATCTCCATAAGAAGCCCTCCATACAATGAATTTAGGTACTCTGCAGCTTACACTGGAGACAATATAAAATGTGCATGATCCAGGACTGAGTAAGGAAGGCACCCGCTATTAGGCCCAGGATAGTTCTTACATGAGTGAGTAAAGCACCCAGGGATTTATCTGTGCAGAGATTTCTCCAGACTTGTTTCTAGTCAGATGTTTGGTCCCCCAGAGCTGCAGATACTAGCAGGTTCACAAGAAGCAGGAGGTGCTGCATTCTTCTGAATCTCTCTCTTTCCCTAGGACTCCGTTTTGCCCCACAGGGCCCAAGAGAAGAAAGGACCCAGCAAGCTATGTCACAGGGCCCTAGACAGCATGGCCCTTTCAGCAGCCCCTGACTAGCTTGGGGCAAAGTTCCTCTGCCCTTGCATTTCTGTAGAAGTAGGATCTTAGGACTTGCAAACAATTCAGCATTATTCCATGCTCCAGGGATTTGCCAGGGATTTGTGTCATCCTGTGATTGCAAAGAGGGAGTTCTACCCTCAGCTGGAAAAGAACAGGCTTTAGTTGAAGTTTCCTGAAGGGAAACCGGTGATTGCCCTCACATCTGGTAGGAGCAGGGTACCATCAAAGCTGTCAGGGCTATTGCAATTGCTGTTTCCACAAGTGCATTTATATCCCACTGATGGTAGTCCATCTGTTTTTCCTTAAAGTTTTGTGAAATGGTGTCTACTCCAGAGATAAGTCGCTGGGCTGGGCCGATCATCGATGTCCTTCTGGATTATGTGGGTAATGTGCAGCTCTGTTCCCGTCTCAAGGAGCATATTGACAGCTATGAGGACTGGGCTGTCATTAAAGAAAAAGCAGGTATGGTCTCCCAGAAAAGATTCTGGCACAAATAGTCCCACTGTTGGATTCAAAACCCCAGTCACCACCTCCTCTTAGTATTCATCCAATAACCTTGAAATCCTTGAAAGGATTTCTCTTCTGTGACTGACCAGTTATAAGGGTCAGAAATTTCTGGGGTGTCCCCTGGGGTGTGAAATGCACAACAGCCATTGATCAGACCCACTGGGAATGAGCACAGCAGTGCAGAAATGCACATTTGGATGTAGCTGGGGTTCACTCAGATCAGAACAGGTGGGCAGCACAGCCATCTCCACAGCAGCCTAGCAGGCAACAGTGGCCTTAAAAGCCTTTTTAACACTCTCCTAATATCCTTTTCCTCAGGAAAAAGTCTTTCATGGATACTATCGAAATAATTTTTCTGGCACCAAGCTAAATTTGGTAGCAATTGCATTTATTTTCAGTGGGAAGGCTGAACACTTTGAAATTACTTGTTTAAATCCTCCTAGAAAGCCCATTGCTATGGCTGAGATGGGTACAGCACCCTATCCTCCAGGCTCACATCCTTCCCCATGTCATGCCTCAGAGTTCTGTCACCAATCCCAAACTTATTATCCCTTCATTACAGAAAAAAAACATTTTTTCATTCTTCCTTCTCCCATTTTCCTCCTGTCACTGTCCTGCCCAAGCTGAGCTCAAGTCTCTTAAGTTAAAACCTGTCCTGCTCATGTTTCTGACCCCGCCTGTCTTTCAGAACCTCCACGGCCTCTTTCCCATCTTTGCCGCATCAAGGTACGGAGCCTGGTTGGAAGAAACCGCATTAAACTGCTCGACACCCTGCCCCTGCCAGACAGACTGATCCGCTATTTACAGCACGACTACTCGCAGTGACCCCAGGCACGCTGGATACGCAGCAGCTTCCCCAGTGGCACCCAGTGTCACCCATGGCACAGGTGCGCCCTGGGGAGGAATTGCTGCTGGCTTGGTCAAGCACCCTCCCACGACTAATCTAAGAGAAATGTGCTTTTGAAGCATGAGTGAGAAGAAAATGGAGGAGACAGCTAACATAGGAGACTGCTGTTAGGTTTTTCAAGAGAAAACACATACAATTCACCTCAGACGTTAGTCTGCAAAGAAGAGACGAAAGGCAATACTGACAAATGAATAGTGCTGAAGCAAGTATCAGTGAGGAACTCAAAAGTGTCCTAAAGCTGTGGTGGACCTTAGCATCCTTGCCGTGGTCACAATTCAGAACGTGTCAAGAATCAATGTGTTTGGGAAAACAATCACATTACCTTCACCAACTGAGATTTTAATTGTAGTTTCTATTCTATTGTTTGGATTTCTGTGTTGGTTGCTAATTCTCTGATATTTTGACACCACCTTGCTAACACCTTTACTTCTTTTTTTGTACCTTTCTTATTAAGGACTTGATTTATGAACCTTCAAATCTCAGAACTCTTTAATAGACTAAAATCCAGAAAAGCTGAATCCTTTAAAAGTCAAGGAAACATTTATTTAAGGAGGATGGAAGAATTGTATTTGCACATAGTGAATACAGTTCCTTATGTATCGTATTTGCAATAGGAAGTACGTGAAATTTTGCATGAGAGAATTTCCTAGACTGGGGATTTGAAAACAACCCTTGGCTCTTTGGTATTTTTGGTGTAAATTAGAAATAGCTGCACTGTAAACATTAGATTTATGCTTTCATGAAGCTGGTGTCAGAACAGAGCAAAGCCCTAGAGGAGCAGGAACAGAGAGTGATGTGAAGGAAAGAGGCAACACTGCTGAACCAACTTATTCTCTTCCTTCCCCAGAAGATCTTATCTCTATAAAACCCAGCCTCTCCAACCTCCTTGGACATCTGTGGCTGTAACAATACCATGACTGAAAGAAAGAGAAGTTATTTCAAAGTAATTGAATTCAAACTGAAAAATTTATGGAAATGAATACCCAGAATTAGGTGTCCAGATCTTTATTCAGGTGCCTAAACAATGCCAAGTTGCTTGCACCAGGTGTTGTTCAACTTAAACCAGGGAAATAATATTCAGTATGAGATATTACTGAGGCTGAATAAAAAATCTCAGAATTTAGCCCTGAATTTTCTGACTTTGAAAGTTTGAAGTATCTATCATCTTCCTTTGACACTGATGAAAGTTATTATCTCAGCTTCTTTGAAAATTAGGTCACCTATTTACAGCTCAGATCTACAACTGATTTATGGCAGCTTAACAAGTCACCATCTATCTGCTGAACCACTATAATTGTCCGTGAAATTCTTTTATTGAAGTTTTTAACAAGTCACATTCCCTCACAGCTGGGGAGACCAAGGACCCCATGAACAGTTATTGGCAGAGACTACAGATCACTTGACAGGTGTGACTTGCTGAACTGCTTTGATGAGTGCTTTATTCCTTACTCGGCACCTAAGAAAGAATGGAAGAAACTAAATTTGGAACTACATCTTTGCAGATCTTATGCTAGAAGCACACTCCTTACCTTAGGTGGCAGAGGAGCTGTGCATCATGGTCTGCTTGGAGTCCCCAACAGAGACCTTACAGATCTGGTTTTGTTTGTTGATCTGCATACCATCCATGGAGTATGACAGAAATCTAAGTAGGAAAAATACATTGCACTGAGTTTTATTTGTGTGGAGTTTTATATCTTAACACAGGACTGAAGTGTATTGCACAAATATAAGTAATACAATCTGTCTGGGCATACAGACTGTGATGACTTTGCGTGAAATATCTTCATCACCTGTGGGACAGGACATGAGCAGAAAAAGCATTGGTTACAGGATTGCTTACTCTGTCCATTTCTGTCCCCTTTATAAATGCAAAAAATTGAAAAACTAACAGAGTTTCAATTCACACTGAACACTGCTCTTGTAAAGCTTTGGAAAGTCAGGCAAGATTAATCCACTGGTGAAATTTCATGCAGTAACTTCCTTTACTGTCAGTTTAAGATCCCTGCCCTTGTCTCTTGTAGTGTGAACAGGGAATTGGTTTAGGTTAGAAAAATACTGGGTGGAGAGAAAAGGAACAAGAAATTGCAATATTAGTTCTGCCAGTGAAGGCCCTGTATTGGTAAGCAGAACCTGGAGAGATAGAAAATCACTGTGGAGTTCATGCATCTCTCACTTTCTGGGGCTGTGCAACAAAGGTCTGGGTCTTACATTGATAAAAATCAGAATTCCTTGAAATCAAGTAAAAATGTAACAAAGCAGAGTTGTAGAGGGTGATGGATTCAGGTAGAGCTTGGTGGAGACCACTTCAGAGTTTGGTGTGCAGTGACAGCCCTGGAGACCCTGGCAGGTAGAAGGGCTCACAATCACCAAGTACATTAATAACTCCAGAAGTGGGATTTCATAAGTATCCCAACCTGGGAATTTCCCCCAAGCCAATATCTTTGTGTCTACAAAAGTCTAGCAAGTAGCAATTTCTTTTTCTGTCCTTGGAGAAACTAAAACTAGGTTTTAATGAGATAAATATGGAAAGCCCATTTCTTCTTTCAACCAAGAGACCTTCATTTCTATTGGGAGACCCAATAGAAATAGAGTCCTGGTTGCTGGCAATGATCCGCCCTGAGCAGGAGTCACTGAGGCAGAGAGCACAGGTCTGGTGGGAACATAACACAGCTGTGGGAAGGATAAGTGCATGCTGTGCTCAGAAACTGAGGTGAGAAGAGTCTATATGTTAGAGAGGGAGACTGGTAATTGCAATGTTATTAAGTCCTTTCTGCTTGATCTTTAAAGCAAACCTTCACATACTCAGTTTACATTTATTTGCACTGAAATGGAGCCCACTACCTCTCCACTCCAGTCACTGACATACTATTTTGTGCACAATACTGAATCTGCACAAATTCAATGTGCCTTTAATGCATCTATCTACAAGTTACTGTGAAAAGAAAAATACTCCAGAACCCAGGCAAGCCAGGCTTTGTAATCAGATCAGTAATTCTAGTGCAAGGTAAAGTGGCTTGTTTCACTGAGTGTGATAGTTAGACTCCTTCAGAGATGATGACTTTATGTGAAATGTTCTAGGAATATTTCATGACCAGGTTACTGTACTTTTTTTTTTTTTTTTTTTTTTTCCAACTTTTGCAATTTTTTTTTTTTTTTTTTGCTTTTTTTTGTTTTTTTTTTATTTCATTTTGTATGAAAGTTTTTTNTTTTTACTGCAACATGTGCAATTCACTTGATGTTCTTGTGCACTTTTTTGATTTTTTTTTATTTCATTTTGTATGAAAGTTTTTTCATTTACTTCTCCCTTCCTGTATTTATAAAAGCTATCGTGTTTTTAAAAGTTTAAATCTGCACTGTTCTAGTAAATAGCAGCTCTCAAATGTTATGTTTCCATCTTTCAAACAGCATATGAATAAACAAGCAGATTCTTAAGGACTATCAGCTGTCCTGAATAGCAACACCAACCATCAACAAGCCAAACACAAAAACATCCAGAAAAATTCTGAATCAATACAAGCTTGAATAAGTAATAATTCCATTGTCAATCTCAGGGATGAGAGAACAGTAAGTATTGCTAAAGACGAGACAGAGTTGCTATTATTTGCAAACCTTTTGGAAAGTCTCACACATCCCCATTCAGGGATTTTGAATATACTTAACAATTGTCTTCTGTTCATTTGTGTTTTACTTCACTGCTGCTCCAGTTCAAAGCCCCAGCAAGGGCCACTGCCTGTCTTGGGTTGGGGGGGAGCTTCCATGTCACAAAGGATTTTGAAAAAATAACATTAGTTTAAATCTGAGTGTAGGAGCATAAATACCTGAGTTGGAGGTCATTTAGAATGGTCTGTTTCAATCCTTCATTGTAACTTTAAAACACGCTATTCTACTAAATGGAAAATGTGCAGCAATATACATTCAAATAAAATGGCGTTTAAAAGAAGCAAAAGAATAAAACTAGGAATTTAATATTCAAAAGACAGAAACTTGGTTTGAACTCTCTTCTTCCTCTGGATTTCTTTAGAAATAAAATTTATACGGAGGCTATTCACTTTGCCAAGTATTTTAATTTTTACAGAAGTCCTTATTCTGGTGTGATCCACAACACTTAGAAATTTCCCTAATGAACTCAAGGAGGAACACTTAAGCACAGCAACTACTGCAATACCAGTAGTTTATTCCATGACCTGCTCTGGCCACCCAGATGCAAATCCAGACCAGTCCTAAGGAGGCTGCTCTGTATTGATAGTACTGAAACAGAGTTCAGCATCTGGCTGCATCTGGAATACGGCAGTAACACAGAGCTACTGATGTGAGAAAAGCCCCCCATTTCCATGTAAGAAAATTCCTTACCTACAGGACTGTAAATTAAAAGCTGTTGTTCTCCCACCTTTAACTTCAATGGCTTTGGCTTCTGTTACAATCCTTTTGGAGAGGGACAGAGTTTCCTCATGGATTTTTTGCAAAAAAGGGAAAGGCATCTAAGTATGTTCCAATCTTTACTTCTGGATCAAGACACAACCTGAAGTCTTTAACCCCTAGAGTGGCTCTTTAGCACCTCACACCTTGCATTTAGCTGCAAGTATGTGCTACCAGAGACATTTCCTGCTCTCTCTCCTACAGTCTGTACTGGCTTGATACATGTATCAAGTGCCATAGCAGGGAGAAAGCAATGAAAGCCATCTCTATATCTATTGTTCACTGCACTACACACACTAAAGACATTGTTTCCATAAAAGTGAACATTGGTAGGATATGTGAGGTTTGAAGAAAGAGTAACCCGTTTTCAGCCTGGGAGTCGAATCATAGAATATTTTAAGTTGGAAGGGACCCACAAGAAGCATCAATTCCAAGTCTTAAGTGAATGATTTATAGAGGGATCAAATCCATAACCTTGGCATTATTAGTACCAGGCTCTAACCAACTGAGCTAGATCATATCCTAATAAAAGTTGTACCTGGTTATATAATACCAAGGCCGTCAGAAAATACAAGATGATACTCTACAATTACTTCAGATGATAATTTTTTAATTACTACAATGCATTCAAATGAAGTATTTTCTGGTTTTCCCCTTGTAGAGATACCAGGAGTCATATAGAGCTATGCTAGTCACAGATCAAACCAATCAAGGCCACTTTTTATCAAGTCCTGGGAGATGTCCCCATTAGCTTCAGCAACAGCAGGTTCAGGCACTGGGAAATCATGGATGTCCATCCTTTGGCCCTTTTTTATCCCAAAATATACTTTTCTTTACTTCAGTGATTTACTCCAGTATAGCCAAATAGATACATACACCTGCAGTATTAAATATCTAATATTTCATGTTCTGTGTCTTAGTACCACTTTCTCCATGGGTTTAAGTGAAACCTAACTTAAAACACTTCATAATAAATTCCAATGCCAATTTGTTTAAAAAAAAAAAATTAGAAAAATACTAGGCAAAACAGCCAGGTCTTAATGATAACATCTTAAAATCAGACAAAATAAAAGCTAACTCTCAGCCAGAAATCAAGGCAGTCTATTTTTTACTTTTTCCTTCCACCACACCTAATGGTTTTGTATTAAACTAATAAGATCCCTCATTTATTCTGTTGATGCAGAGCAATTTGTGACATGGAAATTCATCCTGATTCCATTTGCACCAGCTTAACACTACCTAATATCCTAGCCCTGGAAGAATCACTTCTGATTTATATCAATTCGAATAGGCAGAGATTTCAGTCATATCTCCCCACCAGTTGCAAATCAAACTCATGTCTACCCAGTGGGGCAAAACTAAGACTGCATTTGCAGAATCACCAAAAAAAAATTACCTTGTTTCTTCCCTTATTTTTTTCTTTTAATTCTCTCAGTATTTACATAGAAGAAGAGCTTAAATCAATCACAAGTGATTTCTAGATCAAATACCACCCTTCCAGCAAAACGAAATGACCTGAATATCTTGACTTCCCTGGAATTGCTTTAAAATACAGAAACTCTTTGAATGCATTTAATTCATTCCATTTCAGTGCTGCTGCCGCAGGGCAGCCCCAGAAAGATGTTCCCACGTGGAGAGGTCTCCTAGGTGTTACAAGTGCGGCTAGGAGTGACCCGCAGCCCCGCTCGCCGCGGCTCAGACAATGCCCATCGATGAAAGAGACCTGCTCATGCTCCATGCCACCGGCTTCGCAAGGTTTATTCCCGATTTACGGCCGTGTGCGGAGAGTGCAGCCCAAGTAGCTTCCCAGCAGTTCCCAATTCCCTGCCGCCCGCCCACGAGGCACACGGTGTGATCCCGGCCTCCCTCCCCGGCCGCTGCCAGCAGTTCCTGCCCGAAGGCTGGCCGGGCGCTTCCAGCCCCCTCGGGAGCTGTCGTGTTCGGCATGACTCCCACACCCGCCCCGCTAAAGATACCCAAAAACGTTGAAGAGGGGAGGGGGGATGGCGGGCTTGGTGGGGATGGGTTTCAGAACCATGGGCCTGTAGAGTTTCTGCCCCTGGCCATCGGCCTCCTTGCAGAAGTGCGGCACCTCCGCCGGCAGCGTGGCCGCACTCTTCCTCCACAGCCCCAGCCCCGGGAAGGGCGAGGGGGGCAGCGCGCCAGGGGGCTGGTACACGCCTGGCCCGGGGCAGGGGAAGGGGCAGCAGGTCCAAGCACCCACTCGGCCCGAAAGGGGCCCGGCGGGCTCCTTCTCCCCGGCATGTGGCGCACTGTCAGGGGGGCTCTCCGGGCCAGCAGCGTCTGGGCTCCTTTTGCTTTTCTTCCCCTCATAGG